GCAAATTTAAAAGTATAAACAAATCTCATAATAAAAGTTTTTTTAGAAGTAGAAGATGCGATTGCTGGAGTAAGCATTTAATTCGTCTGACGTTTCGGATTCTGTCGAGAATACTTCGTTAGAGTTAATTGTAGGATCGTATGATACGTGCACAGATTACAAAATATTTACAGTTCGTAATGGCCACGCGACTGCACACGCCCTTTAATTATCAGCTCCCATACACATGCGGTCGCGTGATCACTAAGAACCATAAGTACTGCGTAATCTGTGCATGTATCACACGATTCTACGGTTACCTTAAAAGAACGGGTCTAGACAGGATCCGGAACGTCAGGCAAATAAACTGCTTGTTGTTCCAGTGATCGTATCTTCTATTTCTGAACAGCTTCCTGGAACTCGTATATTCGCTCCTATTGACGACAGTTTTTTCCAAACCGAACGATAGCCGTTTTCACGAATATGATTAAAAAAAGACACCATTTTCCCCTAAAAAAGTACAAGAAGGAATATTTTTTATTTATGATTTCGATAGAATATTTTTGAATTTAAAGTGGCATAAAAAATGAAGCCGGAAAAAATTCTACTACATAATCGATCATTTTGTTCTGAGTGGTGTCTTTACAGACTGCCAAAAAAAGCTCACTTAAAAGCTGGCATCCGGTCGTGAAAGGGCTGCTCGGAATTATCCTGTAAGCTAATTAGTTTCACAACCCCACCTAAGTAATCCTCTCTAATCGAAAATAACTTTCAGAATTTCGATGAACACTCTATGAGACATGCCAGATAGCTTAGATCGACCTGCTCCGCAAACCCTTTTTCTGCTTTGCTCGATGCAGCGCGCAGGTTTTGGAAAAACTGGTCCACAAACTGCCTTTAAAGTCTTTTTGTTCATGAGCGAAAACTCGGACAAGGGGCTGCACAGAGGCACGTGAAACGATGAGCATGTATTTCAACTACTACGATGCTTTGGTCTTTTTCCGGATAGAGGAGATTAGCGCCAGTCCTGTACTGAATTAATGAAACAGTTCGGACGAGCATTTTTTGCTGGTGGGCACCAATCAGGCTGTACTGTGTGGCAGTCTGAGTACCTGCTCATGCCTCATTGGTCATAAATTAGATTCTTTTGGTTGGTCGGGGAGATGAGTTAAAAAAACTAATTTAAAAGTCGGCACCAGGTCGTGAATGACAATATCTTGGGATTATGCTGTATGCTGATCAGTTTCACAACCCCACCTAAGTAATCTTTTCTAATCGAAAATATTTTCAGACTTTTGATTAACTTTTAATCAGATAAGCCAGTTGCGATAGGCCAGGGTCCTATGGGGGCCATATGAAGAAGGAGTCATTGAAGCCTAATCTGAGAAGGGCTAAGTTACCTCGTCGTTTGGCAAGCTTCCAAGTCATGACTGATGGCACGTCGTGATGACTTCAAGCGCATCACATTTATTTAAATGAGAAATGCGCTGATATGCAGTTCTCCACACCAGACAACTGACCGGCTCGGGCGGTGTCTGGAGTCCGCGAAGAGAGTGAAGTCGACGTCTCGGCACATGTTACACACTATAAACACTCTTCCGCGCGTAAATCTCTGTAAGCCGTGGCTTAGAAGGTTTCCAGCTGACGAGATGACTCCGACCTCGTATTCAGCCCGGTGTCTGCTTATGTGTTGAGTGGCCGACTAGGGGACTGAGCATCAGACTACGACGGCCTCTATGGCAGTCCGAATATGTGGGGTCCAAAGCAGGTTGGCTGAGTCAGCCATCTGT